TGCCCCTCCTATGAGGTTTAGGAGGAAAACAGTTGCCCACCTCACAGCTGCAACCACCCCCATTCTCCATCCTCAGCCTCTTCATCTGTGGGCTGCTTGTCCAGCACCCAGAAGTGCCCACTTGGACCAGAAAGGCCCTTGGAATCATCATTTACTGTCAAACCATGGAATAAGCTAGGCCTCAGTTCATCATCTTTTTTTTAAGAATATTACTCTTGCATGTTTTTTCTCACACATCACTATATTCTCAAACACTACCAGCAGTTCCAAAATCTATCCAGAAATACAGTCAAGGGACTTCCCTGGTGGTCCAGTGGTTAAGACTCTGCACTGCCACTGCTGGAGGCACAAGTTCGATCCCTGATTGAGGAACTAGAGTGTGACATCTCGTGGCCAAAACAACAAAACAAAACAACCAAAAATACAGTCAAATAATTATGGAAATTTGACACAGGAAATATGAAGTACTGGATCAGACCTATCAGGTTGAAATATAAAAATCTGAACATTTTCCACCTAAGTCATTCCCTGGAGGGTAGAATTTATTGAATAGGAATAGTCACTATTTGTGATGCCAATACCATCACCAAATTATTAACCTATCTTGGGGATTTTGTAAAAATCTATGAACAATGTTGAACTAAAAGGACTCTTTTAGTTAAAGGATTTGAAATACACATGTTTGGAATTCCTATCAGTGAGAAATCATCATTGATTTTCAGATGGCCTTCTTGGTCTATTTTTCAAAGACCCCAAAACTCATTCAGAATTCCCAGAACTGCAATATAATTAAGTATCTATTAGACTAAACCAATATGTTAATAATCTCCTATAATTATTCACAATACACTTTCTGCTTTTATCCATCTGTTCCTTATTATCATCCTAGGAGATGGTTATCACACCCATTTCATAGTGGAAGAGTTACAGAGACACTTCATCTTTAAAATAGGGATAATATTAAATATTAGATGAGATAACATGAGAATGTTCCACCCAGAGCTTGGCCCATAGCCCCAAACAGCAAATGATAGTTTCCTGAACTCACCCAGACACAAATAGCTCACACTTCTTACCCAACTACCAAGAAGTCAAAACTGTTTAATGACCAGAAGTTTGGGCACTTTAGGTCAAGAGAGAGGTGATTCTACTAGAACCAGTATCCCACCCCTCCTTATCACCACCTCCCCACCTTTGAGGCTCTTATAAGGGGCCCTCAGGCACTCAAAATGCAGAGGATGTGGCTCCTCACCCAGCAATGGGCTCGATAGATGCTCAATAGGTATCTCCAGAGTGGGTGAGTCCCATCTAGACAGGTCTGGACAAGTAGGACTAGGTCTTGCCACCCACCCCACCCCTAGAAGCCATTCCACATATAAAGCTAACATTTTTGGGTCCCTTTGAGATGTCACTGCATTCCCTGGAGGCACAATATGATAACCTCTTCTGTGATTTTTCAATTATAAAGTCAGATGTGAAAACTGAACAAAACCTTAGAAGTCAGATATAAGCTCCACTTCACAAAGAACCGAGGCCTGGACAACTTGGGTAGCTTTTGCAGGTCAGAGATAATACCCGCATCAAAACCCAGCAGGAATTCTGACTCCTAGTACAGTGAGCTTCTTCAGGTACAGGCAAGCCCATCACCACCCTGTGTGCAGAAACATCACTATGGGTGGCAAAGGCCAGGAGTCACTCATCAGGCAGGAAGGCCATGAGGCCACAACTGGAAACGACTTCAGTCTCATAGGATTCAACCGCTTCATTTACGGCGGAGGATGAAAGCGAACTGCCCAGCACAGGAGGAGCTGAGCCCAGTCCTCCACCAGCCTGCAGGGTCTCCTGGGTCAGGGGTTGTGTCTCCTCCACCAGCCTGCAGGGTCTCCTGGGTCTGGGGTTGTGTCTCCTCCACCAGCCTGCAGGGTCTCCTGGGTCAGGGGTTGTGTCTCCTCCACCAGCCTGCAGGGTCTCCTGGGTCAGGGGTTGTGTCTCCTCCACCAGCCTGGGGACTCCTCTTCAGGTTAGGGCCCGGTCACTGCAGAGAAAGAGACAAACAAGGCAGGGTGCGCTCTGGAAAAGCTCAGAGGCTGACACAGAGCCCCATTCCTTGCTCCCACCCCCAACCTCACAAAGTAGAGAGAGAGGCTGGTGTGGGGTCGCGCAGGGCCTGGGAATTCCGTGGGCTGTCCACAGCCATGACAGCTCCTTGTCCTCTCCAAGTCCCAGAGGGACATTTGTCCGGGTGGAGGAAACTCTCACCAGCTGCAGAAAACACCCCACTGGGGCCTTGGGCGCACAGCCAGAGTGCAGAGCCTGGATCTAGTCTCAGAATCAAGACCCCGCACCTTGGCTGACCTCCTCACTTCCCCTCCTGGCTGTAAGGGTGGGAGTTGGGTGTGTGCACTAGTGCCCAACTCACTGAACCAGGGCTGGACTTGTGGACAAATGAGGCTTGGGGGCAAACTTCAGCCTGGAGGGGCTTGTGCTCTCAGGAGAGGTGCAAGCAGGGGTTCTGCCTGTCTGCCAGTTACTAGGTGCCAGGAATCAGCTTTAGGGGAGGAAACTGTGGTCCCCTGGGGCTCAGCCCCTTCCCTCCCCGCCCCTTTGTTTGAGCCTGGCAGGAGGCAGCCGTTACCCTTCCCAAAGACAAGGCTAATGCAGGTGAGGAGGGGCAGTCTGGAGGGGGCCTGAAGTCAAGCGGACGGGGTTCCAACTATCCCACATCTTCAATCATAACCAAGGAAAGGCCCATTCCATCTCCAGGCCTCCCTTTCCTCATCCATGAAATGGGAACAGAGACATTCTTCCTGTCCTTGAGGCCACCAGCGAGGTCAGAGTCAGGCCTGGGCACTGCAGAGCCCGCTTTCCTTCAAGAGGGGGACTGTCATGCCTATAGCCAACATCTAGCCTCAGGGAAGGAGAAGAGCTGACAGGGGGCCTGGTACAGTATCCACGGGGACTCTGGCCCACCCCTTCTATCTCCTCCTCCTCTTCCTGTCAGGTCTCTGGGGCAGAGAGTCTTGGCTATTTCTGGCTGCTGCCTCCAGGCTTCAGGCTTCCCAGGCTCACACAAGTGGTCCCCACACCCCGGCCCTGCTTTGATGGGGTGAACTGGACTGAGAGTTCCCTGGCAAGAAAGGCACACTCGAGCTGGATCTACAGATTGATACGTGAGGATCTATGCATGCATGTGTCTTGGGGGGAGGGAAGTTCCCCAGGTCCCCTCCCAAGTACAGCTTTATCACTATTAGCCACTGAGCCACTCCATCCTCCTGAAGACCTGCAGCTGAAAACCTCCTGAGGGGAAGATACATCCTGCACAGGGCTGGGCCTCAGTTAACCCACTTGCAGCACAAAGTAGCAGAGAAGTTAACCACTAAGTCCCTCCGGCTGACATTTTAGAACCCAGAGTCTTAGCTGGTAACCCAGGAAAGTTCCAGGCAATATGGATAGCAGGAGGCCTGGGGCTCTCTGCCCAGCTACACAACTCTGGGCAATTCCCTTTCTGAGGTTTCCCTGGTGGTTCGGGTGGTAAAGAATCTGCCTGCAACATAGGAGACCCGGGTTGGATCCCTGGGTCAGGAAGATCCCTTTCAGAAGGAAATGGCAACCCACTCCAGTATTCTTGCCTGGAGAATTTCAAGAACAGAGGAGCTTGGTGGGCTATAGTCCAGGCTGTTGCAAAGGGCCGGACACCACTCAGCAACTAACACTTTCACTTTCACACTGTAAATGAAGGGGTTGAATCATAGGAGACCGAAATTCCTTCCAACTATCACCTCCTGGCACAAAGTGACTGCCCAGCATTTGTAGCACAAAGAGAGCACAACAGTCAGGGATGTAGGCTCTGGGATCAGACTGGCTGTCCTCCAGTCCTAGCTGTGCTCTCTCTGGCCATGTCACCTCGGCCAGGTGAGCAAACCTCTTGATGACTCTGTCTCATCTACGAGTTTAACAATATTTGACTCATGCATGCTATAAGCAATAAATGGATAACATCTATCAACTGAGGGAAAATAACAGTATCTGCTCATCAGATTGTTGTAGGATTATAGAAGTTAAAGTGCTCACAAAAAGGCCTGCAGTGCAGTTTAAGGCTTCACTTAAACAGGAGAAGCCTGTCTCCTTCCCATCCGCAGGCATAGAGTCCCCTTAGCAACGCCACTTTTCTTTTCCCCCAGATCTGAGCTATCCAGCAATGGATGAGTAGGGAGTACCAACTGGGGAATAGATATCAGCTTCCCATTTCCATCCCGAGTCAGAGACTACTTCCACACTCAAGGGACTTACTGAACGTTCACCCGTTACCCACCCATTTTTCAAAGCAGGAAATCAAGGTTCAAAGAGAAACTGGACTAGCCAGATTCAGAGGCAGAGGCCCAAGGCAAAGGAAAATCTGCCCTGGACTCCAGACTGGTCCTGGACAGACTTTACCTCTGTCTGTCCCTCTGGCGCCCAAGTACCCCTGCCCCACCAACCAAAGCATAAGCCAGGTATTAACCTCGTCCTTGCATTTTCCCAGCTGAATGACCTTGAAAAGCCATATAAATTCTCTGACCGTCATTCTGAACACTTTAGATATTGTCCAAATACCATGCAATAGGTGTTAATTATTGGCCCCATTTTGAGGAAGCAGAGGGTCAGAGTTAGGGTATCTGCACAAGGGGTTACAGCTGATTTAGTGCAGGTTAAATGGGATATCTTTGTAAACTGTCCTCACGGTGCCCTAAGGCCCGTAGGTGCCCACTATATGGTCACTATTATTATTATTATTATTATTATTTATCACACGGAAGTGAGTGACCCGGCAGGTGTCCAGATGCCCTCCGGGCCCTCGGCCATCCAGCCTGCTGGCCACCACATCACATGAGCCCTACTATCTTTAGCCAGGGAGATATTTATATCCCCCGAGGGAAGTTTCTGTCACTGCGGGGGAGCCCCAGTGTGGGTGGCCGCTGCGTCCAGGCCCCCGGAGGTGGCCTCTGCCCCTCGAGCCCGCCATGCCGCAGGGCCCAGAGACCCCGGTGCAAGTGTGGGTGGGCAGCCAACTCTTCCAGGCAGACCGGGCCCTGCTAGTGGAGCACTGCGGCTTCTTCAGCGGCCTCTTCCGCTCGGGCATGAGGGAGGCGCGCGCCGCCGAGGTGCACCTGGGCGCGCTGAGCCCGGACGGCTTCCGCACCACGCTGCGGGTGCTGCGCGGTGAGCGTCCAGCGCTGGCGGCTGCCGATGAGCTGCTGCAGGCCGTGGAGTGCGCCGCCTTCCTGCAGGCGCCGGCGCTGGCGCGCTTCCTAGAGCACAGCCTCACGTCGGAGAACTGCGCGCTGCTGTGCGACGCGGCCGCAGCCTTCGGCCTGCACGACGTCTTCCACAGCGCCGCGCTCTTCATCCGCGACGGCGCCCACGAGCTGGCGGCCGAGCTGGCGCTGCCCGAGGCCCGCACCTACGTGGCGGCTCTGCGGCCCAGCAGCTACGTGGCCGTGAGCACACATGCGCCGGCGCCCGGCTTCCTGGAGGACCCTTCGCGCACCATGTGCTACCTGGATGAGGAGGAGGACACCTGGCGCACGCTGGCCGCGCTGCCCCTGGAGGCCAGCACGCTCCTGGCTGGCGTGGCCACGCTGGGCAACAAGCTGTACATTGTGGGGGGTGTGCGGGGCCCCAATAAGGAGGTGGTGGACCTGGGCTTCTGCTACGACCCCGACGGCGGAACGTGGCGCGAGTTCCCCAGCCCCCACCAGCCGCGCTACGACACGGCACTGGCCGGCTTCGAGGGCCACCTCTATGCCATCGGGGGTGAGTTCCAGAGGACAGCCATGAGCTCGGTGGAGCGCTACGACCCGGCCTCGGGCTGCTGGAGCTTCATGGCCGACTTGCCGCAGCCAGCTGCCGGGGTACCCTGCGCACACGCCCGCGGCCGCCTCTTCGTGTGTCTGTGGCAGCCGGCAGACACGACGGCCGTAGTGGAGTACACCGTGCGGGCTGATGAGTGGCTGCCCGTGGCCGAGCTGCGGCGCCCACAGAGCTATGGCCACTGCATGGTGGCCCACCGCGACAGCCTCTACGTGGTGCGTAACGGACCTAAGGATGACTTCCTGCACTGCGCCATCGACTGCCTCAACCTAGCCACGGGCCAGTGGACAGCGCTGCCCGGTCAGTTCGTGAACAGCAAAGGCGCGCTCTTCACTGCCGTGGTGCGCGGCGACACCGTCTATACGGTCAACCGCGTGTTCACCCTGCTCTATGCCATCGAGGGCGGCTCCTGGCGGCTGCTTAGGGAGAAGGCTGGCTTCCCTCGGCCCGGTTCCTTGCAGACCTTTCTCCTGAGGCTGCCTCCGGGTGCCCGGGGCCCTGTGGCCTCGACAACCCCAGAACTGTGATCCTTGGGCTGGACTTTTGAACTTAGATGCCCAGAGTCTTCTGTGAGTTATGGCTGAGTCTATGAGACTGACCTTAGGAGCTGCCGGGAACTTCAGGCCCTGGTTGAGATGTCCAGGGTCTTGTGACTTCTGGTTGTGTGAAGGTATCCAAGAATCTCAGGAAGCGTAGACTGGGGATCTCAACCCTCAATTACTTGGACTCTCTTGAGAGCTGGTGGGTCACAATATCAGTGGAAGGGATGGGAGATAGGATTTCAATAATCCAGGCTTGTGTGTTAAAGGGCCAGTAATTGAGGACCGGCTGGGAGTGGGTTAAGTGATGTTAATGAAACTGCCAGTCAAGTAAGAATTAGGCACCTACTGTGTGCTCACTATGGCACTGGGCCTAATGTGACTGTAGTTACCAGACAGGGGTTCAAAAGCTTAGAGTCTAGCCCAGGACAACAGAGGGTTTACATGCACTTGTCTTGATCCACAGAGGGCTCAAGGCAACTTACAAAAACAAACAAGAAACAAACCCTGCAATATAATAAAACAAAGTACTGAAGAAATCAGGACAAAGGGAAAATAGGGAGAGGGAAAATATGTTATTCCAGGCAGGAGAATGGTAAACAAACTGTACTAAGACACACAGGATAATTAGCTGCTAAAGGGGGAGATTCAGAAGAGGAGAGACAGGGAAAGTTGGGCAGATGGGAAGAGTCTGTGAGCCCTGCCTTTGAGGCAGAGCAGCTATAGATGGAGGCCTCTGGGGAGGCATCGAGGCTGGCCTGGCCTGTGGAGAGGGAAACTGAGCTGCCCCTGGAGTGAGACCTGTGAGGGAGAAAGAGATCCCCGCACCATTTAATGGGATGTGGGCCCACAGGAGAGAACCCAGTCAGAAGTCTCTTACCCACTGCCTTTTTTGTCATCACCCCAGGGGCAGTGGACTGTTAATTTTCATGACTTCAGGTTACTCAAAAGTATGAGACCAATTTAGAGCAGGTCTGATGGTGGCTCTGCTGGTAAAGAATCTGCCTGCCAATGTGGGACACATGGGTTTGATCCCTGGGTCGGGAAGATCCCCTGGAGAAGGAAACGGCAACCCACTCCAGTATTCTTGCCTGGGAAATCCCATAGACAGAGCAGCCTGGTGAGCTACAGTCTATAGGGTTGCAGAGAGTCAGATAGGACTTAGTAACTAAACAAACAGCCTCCATTGCTGCCATTCCCTGGACCTGGAATGCCTTTCGCTCTTGCCTCTGTACCTACCTCCTCCGTGCAGGGTTGGCTGTTCCCAACCTTGACTACCTTCATTGCTCATTGGACCCCTGGCTGACATCATTGTCCATGTGTCTATGTGCACATCCGTGCAGCTGTGCACATATGCAGATAGCAAGAACAGAGATCTTATTGTGCTGTCAGCTGAGCTGGGGCACTTTCCTACCTGCAGAATAAAATAATGAGATCCTACAAATGAACCTATCTATGAAACAGAAGCAGGCTCACAGACATAGAAAACAGGCTTGGAGTTGCCACGGACGAGGAGGGCTTGGGAGGGAAGGATTGAAACTCTGGGTTTAGTAGATACAAACTATTATATACAAAATGGATAAGAAACAAGGTCCTACTTATGTATAGCACAGAGAATAATATTCAATATCCTGTGATAAACCATAATGGAAAAGAATAAGAAAAAATATATGTATATACAGACATATATATATATGAGTCACTTTGCTGTACACCAGAAATTAACACAATATTGTAAATACTTCAATAAAAAAATTTTTTTTAAAGAAAGAAAAACATGAGGTCCTAAAAGACCCCAGGCTGTAGCGACCACTAGTTAGGGGCCTGGTGCTGACCTCTGGTGTTAGGACTGTTATCTCTCCTTTAGCATACCCCTACCCTGATCTCTGGTCAGATGCCCAGCTCCATCGTCCGGCTGCTCCATGCCCCTGGGCAGACTTCTTTGAGTGGTCCTAAATGGTCTCCGTCCTCCAAGATGCAAGGCCTGTGGGAGATCCTGGCCTCATCACAAATGGCGAGTACAGCATCAGCCGGGCACCTCCTGGGCAAGGAGCCTAGTGTCTGGGCTGCCCCTTGCTGCCTTTCCCCTGAACTATGTCCCAAACCCTGGACCTAGAAGCCTGGGACCTTTCAGGCCTGGATTAACCTAATCTGATGAGTCACAATAATAAATCCTGATTTGTACATCCTGTGAATGATGTGCAGAGTACTTTCTCATCTGTCTTCCCACTCTAGCCCTGCCTCAGCCTCAGAGTTGGGTACCTTCTCCCAACTGATGAGATATATGAGGTTCAGTGACCAAGTGCCTGGCCCATGCCACAGAGCCCCTCACTTTTTTGTTCTATCAAAGTGTAATTTTATTCACATGTCAAAGATTTATCTAACTCATTAATAAGGGAACCAAAAAATAGTAAGACTGGTTCAGTGGTTCATTTGAGAGACAAGAGGTCTGTATATTTTGTTGGAAAAGATACACCAAAATAAGTTTGCTAAGGTAGAGGTAAAGCTGGTTAATATCTTATAGAGAATAATACCATAAATTTTGTGGTTCTCTACTGGGCTAAATTCCTTTTCATATTCACATACATGCACATACATACTTGTATACGCAGCTACAAGTTAGCATATAACTCTACAAAGTCAGGACCCTGATCAATAGTAAATTGTTGGGACTTTCCCAGTGGCCCAGTGGTTAAGAATCTGCCTTGTCGTGCTAGGGACACAGGTTTGATTCCTGGTCAGGGAACTTGGGTCCCACATGCCGCAGAGCAACTAAACCTGCACTGCAACGAAAAATCCCATGTGACACAACTAAGACCTGATGCAGCCAAATAAATAGTTTTTAAAAATAGTAAATTGTAGAACAAAGGTCCAGTCCCTTGCCAAGTCACTTCAGTCATGTCCGACTCTTTGCAACCCTGTGGACCACACGTCGCCTACCAGGCTCCTCTGTCCTTGGGATTCTCCGGGCAAGAATCCTGGAGTGGATTGCCATGCCCTCCTCCAGAGGATCTTCCCAACCCAGGGAGAATTAAACAACTCTGAGCGCTTCAACCCTGCCCCAGAGTGACACTGAAAGGACACACAGTCCTCCTTTTGCCTATTTCCAAGTTACGGATAATTTTTCTTAAAGCGCAGAACACTCTCCTCCTTGCTCACTCCTCCTGACCAGTGCTGAGCACACTTCCGGTCTCCAGGCCCACCAGCTCCTCGGCTCTCTCAGCCCACAGACCTTCATCAGCTTCTGCAGCTGACCACACGAACCAGCCCAGACCGGCCTGCTGGCTCCAGGGTTCAGTTGTCCGTTGGTCCAGAGCAGCCCTTACTGAGATGCCTTTTGTGTGTAATAATAACACAGTATTCACAGAGAGTTTTCCCACANAAAGCGGAAGTCTGGGAGGAGATGGGGATCCTGAAAGAACTTCGGCTTTCACACAAAGTCACACAGTCAATAAAGTGGAAGAGCAAGGACCTGTGACCAGGATTTGGGATTCTCAACCTCTCATGCCCTGGCATCCAGACTATGTGTAGGTGTTGGGGGAGCAGGCCAGGTGCAGGAAGGCAAGTTACAGAGATATGAGGGGTTACTGAGCCCAGAAGGCTGAGTCTGAAATCTCTCTGTGCCTGGTCAGAGGGACACTCTAAGAAGTTAGTCCTTCCAGAGAGATCTACACACACACACACACACACACACACAGCTTGATGCAGTAAGGTGCATTTCCCTGAACCTCCACAAGAGCCCTGCAGCCCCATTCTCTGGAGTTCTCTCCAGTCTTCTGTAAACTTTCTCCTTGACCCTGACGCTGGATGACCTGCACCCAAGGCGTTCCTCTCCCTGGGAATTTTTCTGGTTTGCTTACATAGCCTGCCTGACAGAGGCAGGAGGACACACCAGCCCTTCCCACACTCCATCCAGGGCCTGCTTCCCTGCAGGCCACTCCAATGTGCTCACATGGGCAGAGCTGTCCTGATGACCCACCAGCCATAAACTGTTGCTTCTCTGCTTAGACCATTGGGTGTGTCTCATCTCTCTTGAGTGAGAGCCAAGTCTGTTCCAGATCCCCTGTCCCATTTCCTCCCGATTTCATCTACTGAAGTTGAGCTCCATGAGGACAGAGATTTGTGTCTGTTTGTTCACTGCTGTATCACCAGGACAGTGAATAGAACATAGTAGGGGCTTAATAAATATTGATATTGAATGAATGAATGGTACTCAATGAATATCAAAAGAATAAATGAATCTATCACATGATCAATCAATCAAAGGGAAAACCCATAGAGAGAGGCTGTCAGATTTCAGAGGAGAGGGGTATCATTTCTGGCAGTGGGTAGTGTGGGCAGGTGACCAGGGGAGACCTTCATGAGCTGATGCACAGTATACCGTGGGAAGAGTGGGATCTGAAAACGGCAGCAGCACCAAGGCTCGTGGAGGGGAGGCAACAGGAACTGAAGTGCTAATCATCCCATGAAGAATTGCTCCTCTTGGCAGTGGAATACACACAGGGCTGGTCTGTTTATTTTCCTTTGGCCCCAAGCAGCTGGGCCTCTTTTTCATCCTAATTGCTTTGCTTCAAGTTGCTGTCACTTCCCAGGAACGGTGGCAAGTTAACTGTGCTGGTGGGAGACACAGCTATAGGCAGACAGGCTACATCTCAGCAGGCCCATTGTGGGCGTGGGATGCAGGACCCCGATGGAGGGGTTCTCATGGGTCTCTTCCCAGCAATGTCCCTGCAACCCTCAAGATTCTGCCCCGGCTGGAATGGGGATTCTCTCTCTGACATCTTAGCAATTAGCAAAAGGTAAAGAGGTCTTTCTGTCAGGTCACAGGGTCTTGGAACAGAGAGGAAAGGGAAGTTGGCAAAAGCAGGGCAAAGAGCTTGTATGGAGACACACAGCAACGCAGTGGACCACTCTGAGCTAAAACCCACGTCTCTAGAATCTTCTTCCCATCACACCATGCTGCATCTCTTGTGTTGCCTTCTAAGACACCCATGAAGGAGGTCTCCAAAATGACCCATCCGATCTGCCCTCCCTGATTCCGGACCTCCATCCTCACTTTTCCAGGAAATATAGCCCTCTTGTGTCACATTATTTTAGCACACTGCCTTATTCAGCAGATAGAGACAAAGGGCTTGGTCTGTAATGGTGGTATTTGAGCACCTGGGCCCTTCACACCACACGCACGCACACACACGATTTTGACAACTCTAAGGGTGGCCTTATGACACTGGCCCACTACGATTTTTCTCTAGTAACATATTCTCATTCTAACTGGGGCCTTCTGTGGATAGTCCTAGCTCCATAATCCTGATTAGCAGAGGAAATTTCAGGGGCTCAAAGAGGGAGTGAGCATTGGGCTGGGGTGGAGACAAGGGGCTGAGGCTCTGCAGAGAGCAGGCTCTGCTCAGAGCAGGCAGCTGGTTTCAAGGTCAAGGCCCAGCTCTGCTTTCTGACCACGGTAAAGTTCCTTAACCTTTCTGATATTAAGATGTCTCAACTCTAAACAGGGAGGATAATTCCTTCCCTGGATGGTGGTTATAAGAGTGGAATGAGGACCTAGAAGCCAGCACAGGTTATGCTCACCATCCATGTTCCTTTCTCCTCCCTCCCCTTCTCCACTGAGACCCTTTCTGTGAGGCAGGCAGGGGTGGGATGAACACAGCCCTGTGGTCTGGGCATTTATCCCTCGGTGAGGAGGCTGCATGGCAGCGTGGGTAAGCATCGGCTTCAGCATCAGTGGATCCGGGTTCACATTCCAGCTCCACTGCCTGCCAGCTGAGTCATCCGGTGCAAGCTCCATCTGTTTATAAAATGTCGAGGATAATGAGGCTCATTGTACCCAGAGTTGTTGTGCAAGTAGATCCTGTGAAGCACCTGTATCTCTCCCAGGAGGGAGGGAGGCTGGAGTCTGGGTGCGAAGAGCCTTGAACGCCAGGCTGAGATCATAGGTCTCATTCTGTAGGAAGAGGGAGCCACAGCATGTGTTTGGGGTGATGAATATGGAAAACGGATGCCATGCTTCTCAAATTCCAAGAGCA